AAATATCTGAAACTGAGTATTTGTAATGGTTGCGGTATGAATTCGTTGGTGACGTTTATAATATAATAGATGATTTAGAGGTAAAAGTTTTTGGATATTTTATTTATTTTATATGTGGAAATGTTCATATTTGGAAAGGGTAAATACTTTTTCGCGATCAGGTAATTTCATATATGTTCTTTTTACTGGGTTTAAAGATTGAGAAAATTGTCATGTATTTTCGTGAAATTTTTCTAATTTATGAGAAAAAAGCAGTGTACATGGATATAGTGAACAGTGTGCGCAATGCCATTTTTGTGCAATTCTGGGATGTTAAGTAAAAGTAAGTCGACGTGTACATGGTTTAGTGATATTTTAATTAAATGATAGTTATTTTGTGAATTTTATGTTTGTAGGAATTTGGTATACGTTTAAGTTGAAGTAAACGTGCATGGAAATAATTTAAATATTTGATACTAAGTATTTGTAATGCTTGCGGTATGAATTCGTTGGTGACGTGTATAATGTAATAGATGATTTAGGGGTAAAAGTTTTTGGATATTTTATTTATTTTATATGTGGAAATGTTCATATTTGGAAAGGGTAAATACTTTTTCGCGATCAGGTAATTTCATATATGTTCTTTTTTACCGGGTTTAAAGATTGAGAAAATTGTCATGTATTTTCGTGAAATTTTTCTAATTTATGAGAGAAAAAGCAGTGTACATGGATATAGTGAAAGTGTGCGCAATGCCATTTTTTGTGAAATTCTGGGATGTTTTTTTTAAGTAAAAATAAGTCAGCGTGTGTACATGGTTTTATGTGTATGTGTTATTTTGAAAAACGCGTAAGGAGTATGGAATTGTGCACTTTTTTCCCAATTTTGCAGTGAATATTTGTCATGATTAAGCAGTTTTGTTAGATAAAATTTCTAGCATAAGTGTAATTCGGCTAGTAGATTGTTGGAAGAAGTGTTCAGTAGATAAAAAGAAAAGAAACATGTCTTTACTTCGTGAAGACAAAATGGCGGCGGGGAAAAAAAAATAGAGGGTTGCTGTAGAAGAGTTGGTCGTTAAATTTTCGCCAAAAAAACGCCAAGTTACCATAATGTAAAGATCAACCCAAATCTTATTATAAGCAGGACAGTTGTATAACTTATGAAAAGTTCCACATTTTCTACATGGTTTTGGATTATTGTACTTATTTTCTTGATAGTTTGAAGAAGATTTAGTACTTTGTTGCTTTTGTTTTACATGATAGTCTTTCTTACAAGGCTGACTTTTTTCCTCTGAAGGTCGAAATTTATTACGTTTGATAGCTTCTATTTTATTTTCTTCAGTTAAAGTTTTGAGCTGAAGTTCTGCTAATTCAGAAGCTTTACACATTTTAATACATTTCTCCAATGTTAACTGATCTTCCCTTAATAATCTATCTTTGAGATTTTTATTTAGAATTCCACTTACTATTCTATCTCTTATTAAACCATCTTTTAATTCTCCAAATCCACAGTTGCTACTTAATTTCTTTAAATCGGTTAAAAAATCATCAAACGATTCACCTACATGTTGTGTTCGACAGAAAAATATATGTCTATCAACACTTCGTTTGCTTTCGGTATGCGAAAATTTTCGAAAGCTTCAATTACTTTGTCAACATCCTTCTTATCTTCTTCACTTAAATTAAAAGTATTACATTTTTCAAGTGCAATAAAATAGCTACTTTAATTTCAGGTGATTTAGTAATACCACCAGAAGCTAACATATAAATTTGGAATTTTTGTTTCCATTTCTTCCAATTTTCGTTTAAATTTCCTTCGAAACTTAGATTACTTGGTGGCTTTAATCCATCCATATTTAATTTAGGACTTTAAATAGCTTATATATACGTATTTTTAGCCACTTCCAATAAAAATAAACAACTTACTTACCAGCGATGTAAGTTTCGATTTCACAGTAAACAACCTCCCATCATGTTTTTGTTTAGAATATGTTTACCCACGCTACATGGTTCTTCAAAAAAGATTTTCTTTTTTAATCATCGATGGGCTGCGCCATGTGTTGTATTTTATATGTGTTGGGTACGTGCTCAGTGATGATTACAAGATGTACACAAACATCGTTTATTCTACATTACTCATCTACTATTCTATATTATAGTTATGATTAAAGATAATAATAGATACAGTTACAGTTACATATATAACACTTCCTATTTGCCAAGAATGGAAAACATTTCATTCTAAAATTTCTTAGCATTACTTTGATGCCCCCTCCTGTTATGATCCTTCCTATGGGAATTAGAGCATTTCAGTATGGCAGTGGATACTGCAGTTTCCATTACATTTGGCAAAATCTTGGAATGAGCTCTATAGACACATACAGTGTATTGTAAACTAAATTAAAAGCATCATACACCTCTTTTTTCCTTCCCATTTTAAGATTTTTGGTGCCGAAGTTGTGCGATTTTCTGATATCTTTCTTTTAGTCAAAGTAGATTGCTGTGTATATAGGGAGAACAACACTAAAAGAACTAGAAGAATGCATGCCTTGCAAGGGAAAAGAATGCAAGAAATAATCGGTGCCACTCAATACATTGTTGAAATAGATGCGAAGATAAAAAAATAACAAAAAAAAAAAAAAAAAAAAGTTTCAGATTTTAAATTATGTCCAAAAGGTCTTTTTTTTTTTTTTTTTTTTTTCTTTAACATTTTGTGTGTTACCTTTATTTATTAAATATCATGTTCTTTGCACTTAAACCATAAAATTCAGTTCAGGAGCAATATTGCAAAATAATTTTAAAATGAGCGTATCTTTAGAATTTCCGATACACAGTCTTGTGAGCTGGAGATAAAAATGCATTTTCTGTTCAAAGTTGCCATTGTTGAAATCCTTAAGTTTGTTCATCAAAAATTCGTTGAAGTTTTACAAAATATGAAATTGATAATAAAACAAAATTTGGGCTTCTAGATGCCCATATTCGCAGCAGGTTTATGTTATTTAAATTTTGATGGCTCTAGGTACCGTTGTTTTATCCCAATGAGAAAAATATACATACATTTGTGCAGATTCTTCATTATTAAATTTCTTTAAATATAATACAGGGCGATAATATTTGGTGGAAACAATTTGAAAGTGAAACAATGCTGATAATGAATCAACGCAAAATGCCAAAACAAGATTAATAGTCCTTCTGGGCAAATTGCCGCTTCGGACTAAAAATGGTAAAAGTATATTTTAGGGTACCCATTGGCGAAACTTGGCGGTACATGGATACCGAGTTTGTGCAATTCTTTGACTTGTTATTTTAGCTTCATAGACAAAACCAAAATAACACAACAAAGAATTACACAAACTCGGTATCCATGTACACATCCACCTATTTTCACTTAAAAAAACATAAGAGAATTGCACAAACAGGCTTTGCACATTCCCTTTGTCCATGTACACATTTACTATATTCACTTAAAAAGTCAAAGGAGCAGCCAAGAAAAAAATATATAATCCGACATTTTAAATTAAACAATGAAATAATATAAAAAAGGAAATTCATCTTAGCACTACACGAAGGAAATATTTACGAATTACTTATTACTTATTTACGCATCTTCAGTCAAACAAAATTCCTTGCATCCAAACACTTCCTAAAATTATCTGAACTAGAATTTGTATACTGGTGTCGCCACATAAATTCACAAAACTAAGAGTAAAAAATATCCTCCGTTCTAAAATATCTGATGTTCAACCATACACATTTTCTTCCTCCAAACAGGACCTTAATAACGGCTACTAAGTAAATCTTCATTTACACACCAGTCAATTAATGCTTTTTTCCCTTTCGTTCCAAATCCTACAGAAACTTCAAATTAATCTTAGCACATTCAGCCAATTTACTGTGTAAACCACAAAATAACAACGTACTTATCCCATCACACAAAAGCCCTTACCCAAAATCCGACACACACTTTCCAAATTTTTTTCCATGATTCAAATTCACAGCAACCAATTACGTCATAATAGGGTTTCCATAGCATTCAACTATTTAGGTTGTCATAAATGAGACAACAACTTGGTGATAAATGAAAAAACAACTTCGCGATAATACAAGGGGTACTTTAAAGTAAACTATAACCCTAAAAACATATTGCCTTTTCGGCAAATTTTAACATCCTTACAATTTATTATTGCAATACTATACAAGAAAAAATTGCTTATTTTTTAGTTTTAAGACAGCCTGAAAAATTTCACTAGATGATTATTTAAATTTTCATTATGTTACATGAGAAGACAGTAACTTGATATGTTTTTGCTAATTCCAAACAACTTGTTGGGCTAATCTTTGGAATATGGTAACAGGTAGTTTGACGACATTTTGGTAAGGCGATAAAGGTTACTAGCTAGGGCTTTAGCAGTGTACATGGATAAAGTCAAGAGTGTGCGCAATGCCGATTTTGTGCAATTCTGGGATTTTTTTTTTAAGTTAAAATAGGTCGACGTGTACATGGATACCGTGTATGTGCAATTCTTAAAAACGCGGCAAGCAGTGGGCGTTTCGGCACTTTCTCCCAATTTCGAACCTAATCTTTGTCATGATTAAGCACTTTTGTTCCATAAAAGTTCTAGCATAAGTGTAATTCGGCTAGCAGATTGTTGGAAAAAAATGTTGAGTAAAAAAAAAAACATGCCGTTACTTCCTGAAAACAAAATGGCGTCAAAAACAACAACAACAAAAAAAAAAAAAACTAGCCGGTGCTGTAGCAGGGTTGGTCGCCAGATTTTTGCCGAAAAATCTTCAAGTTACCATAATCCAAAGATTAACCGCTTGTTGCTTAAATAGGTTTAATGCATTCTGGAGAGGACATTACTTTTCACTTTAAATGCTGTTTTACATTTAATGTTTTGAACAAATTATTCTATTACTTTATTACTATTTATTATGAATAGCACTACCACTGTGTAACTAATTATCATGATGAATAATGATGACGATGAAATATTTTATACATACATTAGAGATACAAATAATAAATACACAGAAATTCTTTATTTTTAAGTATACAAATTGGAAATACATGACTGTTGAACTGCAGTATAATTTGCAAGTCTATGCTTAGCATCACTATTAACAGACACACCTGATACAAAATCTTCATCTAATATTCTTTCAAAGACTTCGACACTAACAGAATCCAAAGAGTTTGAATCTACATAACAAATAACAGCAACAGCTGGTTTATTAGTTACTTCAAATTCTGTCAACACTGCAGCTGGAAAATTCGCCAAAAAATTAGGTGGTGACAAGGTAGGGATTTTACAAGTGTTATTCATCAAATATTGCGAAGTTGCTAGAGATCGTAAGAATGATGTTTCTGAATCATTAGGATTCACACATTTATATGCAGACATGTGACAAGTGGTCAAAACAACAGCACGTGCACATGGAAGATGCTTTAAAACCCTACTACACAAATTTACATTTATTTCCTCTGGAACATTGGATAGAATTTCACATACAGCAACATTAGAGTTTATGCTATATACAGAACACGCTTTCAATTGTTTAGAATATATGGAATTCTTTATGTGGCATGTTAGTAACGATTCTTCATCATTTCTGTCACACAAATAATTTACAGTCATTAATAATTTAGTATCATCATGACAAAAATAGCATTTAACGAAAGCTGTGGAAATATCACCCACTGCAAACAGCACAAGTTCACACTGAGATTTGAATTTTTCAAAATCATCAGTTACCTCACTGGTCAAAGTGAATACTGGATAATCTTCTGTTTCGTCATCATCAACAGCTCGCGATGATAAATCTCTTACTTCTCCGAAAAATGAAGCCATAACGAAATAGCACTAAGCAATAACTTCAAAATAAAGATTATAAATTAGAAAAAAAAAAAAAATTGCAAGGTTCTTTAATGCACTGTTTTGCACTTGTTAAGTCTTTCTGCACGCAAAAGGAAAATGCGCAGATGACATGAAAAGTTATTTGCTTGGATTGCCGAAAAAAAAAAAAATGTTAACAATTAAAAGGAACAAAAAATAATGCATTGAAAATGCTTTTGAATGACTATATGCTCACGGACTGGAGGAAACGGCATTCGCCAAAGTCCTCACCTCCTTTCTTCTTGCTCAAAAGATTACTACAGAGAGAATGACTACACGAATAAAATTTGAAGAAAATTCATTTTGAGGCCGATTACAAAAATTATGATAGGAATAATAAATCATACACGAATGATTTTAAAAGAGAACTCACAAATGACAATATAAATATTTCTGAATGTCCTAACTGTAAAAATAAACAAGAATGCATTGATAATTTGTAAAAAACAAAGCTAGTTCAGTATTTTAGGTAATTTATAATTGTATACAACGTAAAAGCAATTTCCCATAAAACGATGTTCCTTCTTTGCCCTTCTTTTGAAGGAAGTAATATTCTCTTCAGATAACGTGAGCAAAGTTGTTTCATCAAACTTATTCAAAGACAAAGATTCTGTATTTATTTTAATGTAATGTATGTGTATAAATGTGAGTATAAGTTAGACAATTAAAAAAATCTTCTGTTATAGAAATGCGGAAGAGAAACACGCTAATGTAAAATTAAGTCAGAAAAGCAATGGGTGCCTGCAAAGGAAAATCTTTTCCGAGTGTTGGAAAGAGGTTGTTTTAGCTTTGTTTAACAAAGAAAAGAGAATAAAGAGAATCCTTCTTTTTTTCGTTCCATTTGTTTACTGCCTTCTTCGAGCAAAGGGCTGGATAAGATTATGACGCAAAGATTAGAATATTATTTATTAACAAATAATCTTGTAAATTAGAATTAGTATGGTTTTACGCTGGGTAAAAGTACTACCCAGGCTGTAGACAATTTCAATGTCTGAGAATGGATGGTAAATATACTGCAATTCTGTCTTTAGACTTTAAGAGCACTTTCAATAGCGTTTAGAAGCCGATTTTGTTAAAAGAGTTAAAAAACATCAAATGACCAAGAAATATATTTTTGTTCATATGTGATTTTTTTGAATGACAGGAAAGTTTCCTTATATGATAGCAACAAGTGGTATCATAGAAATTAACAAAGGGGTTGTCCCCAAGGATCAATATTTGTTCCACTTGTGGGGACCAAATATTGTTTTTTTAGCCCTCTTTTCCACTATTCCGAATTTGTTTTATTAGCCACAGCAAGTGCCCGTCGTACTATAGATCAGCGATTTTAAACCTGTGGTACGCGTACTACTGGTGATACGCAAGAGAAAAATAGGTGGTACGCCAAGAAGCAAACTATTTTAACTATTAAATTCAAAAATTAAGTACTCCAACATTCGGATTAAGTGTGTCTCTAACACTCGTAAATTTATGCGATCTGAGTTTTGTTCAGGGTCAATCGCCGCACATAGACTTTTTTATTTTCGCAAATATTCTTTTACCCATAGACATAATAAAATTTATCATAAAGGGTGTTTTTGAAAGGAGTAATAGAAATGGGTGGTTGTGTTTAGTAGGAAATAAAAATAAGTTTCTATAAAAACGTAATAGCATCTCATTAACTCTTATAGAGTTGATCGATTTATTAGCATTAGATCGATTTATTAGCTCTTTGTCTCGCCACCGTTTCAGTCCTCATACTGCTCTATTTTCAATCAGAATTTTTTTTTTTCAATTTGCTGTCTCTTAACAGCAGGTGTTTTGTTTCTTGTTGTTTTGTATTCCTTACATTTACACGTGATTTGAGAGTATTTTCGTTTGATTTTTAAGAACTCGTAACATATTGTGCATTTAAGTAGTTGTGAAAAATAATAAAAAAAAACCTAGATTTTCAAAATGGAAAATATTTCAAAAAAAAAAAAATACTATTGACTACGCGTAAAAGTGATGATTCACAGGTGATGGATCCAGAAAAATTTACTAGCACTAAGAATACTGAAAAACAGAAGAAAAATTTTTGATAGAAAATGTAATGAAAGTTATTTATCATGTGAGTTTATTTGGAATTGAGATGAAATGGGCCCTCCAATCTCAATGTTTTGTTTGCGGTGAACTATTATCTATTCGAAGTATGAAACCATTGTTTCATAACGGGGAGGCCCACCAGTGGCCGAGCGGTAAAGTCGCTGAACACTCGTAGTTCGGTCCGAGGTTTCGAATCCCGCGAACGGGCTGGCTGCATGGGCGTTTTCGTGCTTTTCCCCATGTGTAACGTGTATACGAGCCAGTTTCCCTTAGAAAGTCCTCCACGAAGGCATCCCTCCTCTTAGGCAGATAGCCCTCGAGGTTTTGCCATAATTACACACACACACACACGTTTCATAACGGTAGTCTTGAATCTAAGCATGTCAATTTAAAGGATAAATCCGAAGAATATTTTAAGAAGAAATTATCGGAGTTAAAAAATATTAAACAAGTAATGAAAGGCTTTGTTACTTCAAGTAAAAACGCTTTGAAAGCTAGTTACCCAGTAATCCTAAGAATTGCCAAGACTGGGCAGTCTTACACTATTGGAGAAAACCTTATATTACCAGCAGCTAAAGATATCGTTTTAACTATGCTCAACGAAAAGTGGCTAATGAACTTGATAAATATTCCGTTATCAAATGATACAGTAAGTCGAAGAATTCATGAAATGGTAAATTCCGTAAAAGAGAAACTTATTCAAAAAATAAAACACAGTCAGTATTTAGCATTGCAATGGGATGAAAGTATTGATGTAACGAATTTTGTTCAATTATTAGTTTACATACGTTTTGAAGAAGGTAAACGAATAGCCGAAGAGTATTTATTTTGTGTATCTGTTCACGATAGAGCAACTGCAAATGAAATTTTCAAAGTTATTGACAATTTTATGTCTGAGAATGAATTCCTTAGAATAACTGCATTGCCGTACGCAGTAACAGAGCTTCGTGCTTTAACCCCCCCCAAAAAAAAAAACCCTTCCACAGTTCTTTTTCAAATAAAGAAAGTCGCAGTTGAAACTAAATTTGCTGACTGCTCCATTCATCTTGAAGCTTTAGTAACAAAAATAATCCACGGAAACCTGAAAATCATTTTGGATCAAGCTATGAAAATTGTTAATTTTATTAAAAGCCAAGATTTAAATTCAAGAATATTTACGATTTTATGCCAAGAGTGGCATGAAATAACTTTGTTTACTCGAATAGGGTTTCTAGCATTAAACGTGTTCTAATGATTGTCGAATCAGTTTTCGTTTCAAATTTGTTTCAAATATTATTAGAAATGGAACAGCTTTAGTATAGCCCACCTTCAAAGTTTGGCGAATTTGGTTTGGCGCCAAAGCACATGAAATACGTTGTTTTGAAAAATGGTTGCCATCCAGATTTTCGACGAAACTCCGTGTTTCAAAAAATGGCGGCCATCTTGATTTCACCAGAAATCGTGGATAATAGAAATAAGTTTACGACTATTATACACGATTTTAAGAGAAAGAAATATTAAGAAATGATTAATAAAAATGATTAAGGTTAAAAGGATGTAATTTTAAAAACAATACCGGAAACCTTTAGCTATTTCACCTTTAATAAATAATTTGGTGTGACGTCACAATGTATTCTCCATGCTACGCGTAATTTCTATTTTCTCTTTAAAAAAATAATGAATTGTTTATTATTGTAAATTAACATCAAATTCTTTAAATTTACATTTCTGAGCTTAGGCGTAACTGAAAATAAGTATAATAAATTGTTTATATTTAAAATTATCATGATACAGTAAGCGAATTCTACCAGTTATTACAACGATAAAGAACGTCGCAGTCTCTCATACTTGTATTTCATACAGCTTCAGTATTTTCAAAGATTTTTAAGCTTTAGCATTTATACAAATTAAAAAAGTTTTTTTAATTAATACTCTGGAACATATCAATTTTATCATATTTACAAATTAACGTTTTGCTACGTAACAACATAATCCCTTATATACCAGTAAGTAGACAATTTTCATAATTTTCTAAAAATTTTAAACTTCACATTAATGAAAAACAGGTTCTTAAATTCCTAAATCACATTATATTCTCTGTAGGCAAGCATACTAGAATTCTACACATAAATAAATAAATAAAAAAAAATTCTCACATTGAAAGAAAATATTATAAGAAAATAAATACTACAAATTAGGAACACTAAGCAATGCTTCACATACACACACACATACAGTGTCTCACAAAAGTGATGGGACACTTGTGCTTTACAAAAGGAAACTGTAGTAAAATAAAAAAAATTAAAAAAAACATGTAAAAATTTTTTGTGGGTGTGTTTCATACTTAAATTTAGTAACAATTATTACATAACATACATTTTCTCAAAATATTAAAATATCAATTTAATAAAAATACAATTGTTTAGAACGGAGCAAAAAATGGCTCACATAAGTGATGGGACACTTACTTTTCCATCAAATATTTATCCAAAAATTTTACTTTATAAAAGGTTTTAATATTTTGTTGGATTTCCTTTTACTTTTAAAACATGATTTAATCTTCTTGGGATGGATTCGACTAATTTTTTTGCGATTTCTGGAGTGATTTTACCCCATTCTTCTTGAAGCACCGATTTTAATTGTTGTTTTGAAGAAATGGTGTGTTTGCGAAATTCTTCCCTGGGTTTTCTCCACACCAAGATTCTACCGTCAGAATCAAATATATTAAATTTACTCTCATCAGCAAATATAACTTCATTCCAGTAATCAGAATTCTTATTTATGTTGGATTTTGCGAAAGCCAGTCTGAGGTTTCTATTCTTTTCACTCACGAAGAATTTTTTCCTGGCTGCTCTACCGTGATATCCAGCAGATCGAATTACTCTTCCAATAGTCTCAGGATTAACAATTACTCCATATAATGCTTGTAAATCAGCAGCAACTTTAGGAGCACTCATTCTTGGATTTTTTTTTTAATATTTCGAACGATAATTCGCTTTATTCCATTGGATAGCTTTGAT